TATATATATATATATATATATATATACAGTGCCTTGCAAAAGTATTAGGCCCCCTTGAACTTTTCAATCTTTTGCCCCATTTCAGGCTTCAAACATAGACATGTAAAATTGTACTTTTTTTAAAAGAATCAACAACAAGTGGGACACAATCGTGAAGTTGAATGAAGTTTATTGGATGTGTCAAACTTTTTTAACAAATAAAAAACTGAAAAGTGGGGCGTTCAATATTATTCGGCCCCTTTAATTTCAGAGCAGCAAACTCACTCCAGAAGTTCAGTGAGGATCTATGAATGATCCAGTGTTGTCCCAAATGACTGTTGATGATAAATAGAATCCACCTGTGTGTAATCAAGTCTCCGTATAAATGCACCTGCTCTGTGATAGTCTCAGGGTTCTGTTCAAAGTGCAGAGAGCATCATGAAGACCAAGGAGCACACCAGGCAGGTCCGAGATACTGTTGTGGAGAAGTTTAAAGCCGGATTTGGATACAAAAAGATTTCCCAAGCTTTAAACATCCCAAGGAGCACTGTGCAAGCAATCATATTGAAATGGAAGGAGTATCAGACCACTGCAAATCTACCAAGACCCGGCCGTCCCTCTAAACGTTCATCTCGAACAAGGAGAAGACTGATCAGAGATGCAGCCAAGAGGCCCATGATCACTCTGGATGAACTGCAGAGATCTACAGCTGAGGTGGGAGAGTCTGTCCATAGGACAATAATCAGTCGTACACTGCACAAATCTGGCCTTTATGGAAGAGTGGCAAGAAGAAAGCCATTTCTCAAAGATATCCATAAAAAGTGTTGTTTAAAGTTTGTCACAAGCACCTGGGAGACACATCAAACATGTGGAAGAAGGTGCTCTGGTCAGATTAAACCAAAATCCAACTGTTTGGCCACAATGCAAAACGATATGTTTGGCGTAAAAGCAACACAGCTCATCACCCTGAACACACCATCCCCACTGTCAAACATGGTGGTGGCAGCATCATGGTTTGGGGCTGCTTTTCGTTAGCAGGGACAGAGAAGATGGATGGGGATATATACACATACATACACACACACACACACACACATATATATATACACATATATATATATATATATATATATATATATATATATACATACATATATACACATATATATATACACATATATACACACATATATATATACACATATATACACATACAAATATATACACACACATATATATATATGGTAATATTGTCTGACCTCTATTAAAATCTTAATACTGTATTCACTTCTTTGTTTCCAAATCAAATCATGTCAAATTTAGTCCAGGAAAAAATAACCTTTTTTCTCACTAGCCAAAATTACAATTGTCTTCTTTCATCTGTGTATCAGTGCATTAAAAATATTAATTATCACTGACTATACAATGCTTCTGTGTGGTCACCTGCGGTCTCTGTATTATTTCTAAATTATTATTCTACAGATAGCTTTCCGTCATGTTGATCAAAGACTTTCATCATAACCGCCAACACCACTTCGCAGCCACTCCTTCCTCCTGCCATATTTAATGTGTAATCAAAGTAAAAACACACTTTTCTCTTATAAAACAGTAAGGGGTCCTTACAGACAGTTTTCTACTCCTGCTGCACACAATGGCACTAAACTCAAAATGTCTGCTACAAATAGGAGCCGTTGTGGTACTGTTTTTGTGATTTCTTAGCAGTAGTTTATGTCAACGTTTTATGAAAGATGTAAGAGTTCACAGAGTAGAATGCTGATGCAGCCGTGTGTAAACAATGCAGGTTCCGTATGATGACTGATTACTAACGGACCTTTACAGCCTGCATTTCTTCTGAATGAATCAGGAAAGGAGAAGTCAAAGTTGCCATATTTTTCCTGTTCTTTTTTTTCTTTAAGCAGACACATTGCTAATCAAATTATACTCCTCTTATATTTGTTGCCGTGCCAGCTTTTTCACTGGTTCTCTTTTCATTACATCACCTTGCATCCAGGAAACACAAAACAACAACTGCATCTGCTATTAATTCATCTTTTCCTTTTTTCATCTATTCTTCAAATAGTCTTCATCTCCATCCTAATGCTCGACAAGATTAATTTCCACTTTTCATGACCAATTAAATCCTTTCTGCCACATGTTGATGGTTCGCATCGGCTTAAGGCTGTACTTAAGGCTGATTTCCTCAGCTCTAATGCAAACAGCCTATCTTCAAGTGCTTTCATCCCTCATTGCACAGCTTCTCTGTCATCTTCAAACATGCAGCAACTTTTTCATCACTACTTCTCATTCGCTGCAAGATTTGTGTCCGTACTTGAGAGCTGTCTGGTGATTTCTAAACCCCACATTTCCTCCAGGAATCAGACCTGTGAGCCACCTCTACGTGTCAGAGGTGACGTCAGACTCAGTATTAGTGGCGTGGACCTCCCCAGCACCCCCTGCTGACCTCTTCATCCTGAGCTACAGCTCTGCAGACAGGACAGACACATCTAAGGTGACACTGGATGGCTCCAAGACGAGGTCACTGGTCCAGGGCCTTCTGCCTTCCACTCACTACACGATCAGTCTAATCACAATACAGGGGGATGTTACCTCTGAGGCCATTACAGCATCTCTCACTACAGGTGAGTGGTTGGAATTCATCAGGAAAGTGCTTTAAATAGATGAAAACACATCAACTTAAATACTCGTAGCCTTTTTTGAGCCTTGTTGAAACAATTATTGCTTTGGAAAAATCAATACCGTGTGTTAATGTGCACCTTGGGAGTTCTGTGAGCGTTAAATAAGCTCATGTTCAAAGCAACATGGAACCAAGTTTTTTTTTTTTTTCTTTTTTTTTTTTTTTGGGGGGGGGGGGGGGTAATGCGTTTTACAGGAAATGTCAGATCAATAAAATTGAGACAAATTACCAACAAATGTCAATTTCATGTCTTTACGCTGACTTGTTTGTTTTTAAGTCAAAGATGTAATTTTTGCTTTTGCTGCAAAAATGAACAAGTTGCACAATTTTACTTACTGGAACTGATAGGAATGAATGGATCTGAATGTTAAGTTCAAAGAATCAAAGACGAAAGAATCGGTGGGTGGAATGAAAAATGGTAAATATGATTGAGTGGAAATAAAGAGAAAAACAGAAATCAAAATACTAGATCCCTACTCCTCTTCTCGGAGCCTCAGATCTTCCAGTCAAAGGCTGTTAATGGTCCCACGGGCTCGTTTTAAGACCAGAGGGGATAAAGCTTTTAGGGCTGTGGCCCCCAGACTGTGGAATGTGTTGCCGCTGACTTTGCGCTGCCTTGATTCTTTTAAAAAGCAGCTGAAGACACATTTGTTCAGACTGGCTTTTAGTTAGTTTTATTGTGTCTTATGTCATATGAGTGTTGTTTTATCTTTCCTTCTGTTTTATCTTTTGTGTTTTGTTGTGTTTTTGTCTTATATTCTGTAAACCACTTTGTGGTTTCTGACCTGTAAAACGTGCTATATAAATACAATTTACGTACTTGCTTACTATATTATTTGGAATATCTACATTTCCAGAAAATATGCAGAATCAAAAAGTATATTTGGTTCCTGTGAGGTATCCGATGACTCTTTTGCTACAAATTAAATGGGAGTGAAAAAGAAGCTTGACAGGGTTTGTTCTGATTCTGATTAATGATTTATTGCTGATTCTGAATTCAAATGTTGAATTGTAATGTCAGAAACTCTTTAATTTGACAAAACTGCTGATGAATGAAATCAAAAGAGAAGAAAGATGCAGGTTGACAGCTCACACTTGTAATGCAAAGTAGTAAAAAGCCATATTCTTTGTATCCACCCATTGAAGTACTTTCTACTATTATAAATGCACTTTTTCCTCTTGTTCCAAAACATTATCATTTTATAATTTTCTTCCTTCCCTAAATTATTGAGGTCTTTCTATCTTCTGGAATATTTCCAAACTACTTTCCAGCTGAATTTTTCCATTTCATTTAAACTGTCAAATTGTGAGACAAAAAAAAAGAAATGCTTGAGAAGAAAAATTAATGAGAATAGTCAGTGATGTAACCTTTTGTGATCAATGATGAGTTGGAAAGCACAAAAAAATATTTTTTTATTCTTATAAAGTAACAAAAGAAAAAAAATCATTTTATGATAGAACTTTAAGACAATTAGAGCAAATTAAACAAGAAATATTTTAACGTGCCCGAAATACTGTCCCTGCTTCAAAACAGACTTTATCAACTTAGAGCTTTTTTTTTAAACTCCTCTCTCTTTAGATTCACCCAGAAGCAAGAAGCAGATTTTAAAGGGGAAAACAGATTGTGAATTTTTGAGATAGATATGTAGTAGTTCTTGCACTTCTTGTTGCATCGTAGTAATTTTGCTGCCCTGCTTTGATCTTCCTTGTTCGACTCTGAGTGGGAATAACTGAACTCTGTCTTTTTTTTTTATTACCTTTAAGCATTCTGTTTGATTTATTTGCAACATTTTAAATAAGCTTTCCTCTGCATTTTAGCCACAGTACTTACAGGCGATTTGGCTTAGCTACCAGTCATTTTGCCACAGTAGTCATTTCAAATGGTGCTTTGATGTAAGCTTACACACTGCAAATGTTACCGTGATCAACCTGAGGGACACAGTGAATAATCAGATGTTTTTCTGATGGAACTGTTAATTTGTTCCTTTCTCCTCTTTACTCTTTTTTGGTATCAAAGCAGTCATAACTGGAGAACATGTATCAAAGGGAAAAAAGTAAAATCTCACATTTTCCCACCTTTTTTTTAATACCTTTTTAAAAAAAATTATTTTTCCCCCCTTTCTTTTAACGTTTCCCACATTTTATTAGTAGCTGTGGACTTGTATTATGTTTAAATATTTGTTGAAATTATTTTTACTAAAAATGTCCACAGCTGCTGTAATTGTCTTGGGAGGTACAAACAGTAGAACGACCTCTGATGTGCATGTTTTTACCTCCTCTTTCCTCATGTTTCCCTTTTCCTTATTTAACATAAAGGGCAGCGCCTCCCATGACGGCTGCAGCCTCAGGCACTCCGTCTACCCATGTTTATCTTTTTGTTTCTTTGGACAAGCTGTACTGAAATGTAATTTTGTTGTGCTTCTGTGCACTGACAATAAAGGCATTTTAATTTTGATTTTGCTCCATGTCAACATTAATTATTTTTATTTATTTAGGACATCTAGAGATTTTGGTGACCGCATCATGTTTTAACATGAGTTAAATTGCTCAGGCCCACAAAATGTTTGATATGTAAAATTTTGTGAACGTTTAGTCATCAGGAGCAGAGAAGTACATAACTTTCTGAAGTTGCTTCATAATTTTACTCACCATCAAGTGCGTTTTTGAAACTGGAACAATGATAATAAGACTTATATTTCACCTGTATTGTTCATTGTGGAAAGTTTTAAACTCACATAGTTGTATTTTTACCCATGATTCCCTTTTATAGGCATGGACCCGCCAAAAGAGTTGACGATGTCAGACGTGACTGAGGATTCAGTGACGATCTCTTGGATCAAGCCTCTCGCTCTGTTTGAATACTACAAACTCTCCTACCAGTCAGCCAAAGGTAGAACGCACTGTGCCACAGTACAAATGGTGTCCTAACTCTGTTTTATTAACATGACATTTTTATATTAACTTACACAAAGCTCGCTGCTGTTTCAAGTTACAGTTAAATGAGTGTGGCATTTGCTCTCATATATAAGGTACACTTTATATTAGAGCGCTCTGTTGCAGCGCTGCGTTGTAGCTAATTAATCACAACCTTTTATCAGTCAACTTTAATTGAATTTTAAATTAAATTGCTGCACTGAGCTACAATTTGCTCCTTGAAGTATATCATGGAGCTGCTGGCTACATGGTGCACCACCTATGTAGGCTACTAGTGGTGTCTGATGTTTTGACGTCTGCGACATCTCCTGCAGGTCGGGTGGACAGTGAGATGATTGACAGCGACGTGACAAACTACACGTTGTCCAGCTTGTTTCCTGCCACTGAGTATGAGATCAACATCAGTGCTGTCAGAGGGAGTCAGGAGAGCAAAGTTGTCACCACGTCTGTGTTCACAGGTACAATATAAAAATCTGAATAAGCATATATTTATATGCGAATAACAACCAGCCACAATAGCTTACAATTTTGGACCAAACTGGTATTTAGTTTGTGCTTTAATAGGTCCCTTTGTTTGCAGGAACTGTTGTTTACTAAAATGTATATATTTGTTTGACCAAATATATAAATTTGTTAGTTTTTTCTTCTTTTCTCTTTCATACAAGGAACACTGAAATCAGTGAGCGTAACTTGCCAGTAAAACAAACCTGGATCAATATTAACAGAACAATGCTGTTACACACCATATACAACCACTATGGTAAAACTGTTGAATTATACAGTCACCTATTAAAGAAGAAAAAATATGTAAAAACCTTAAACTTGATGACAAAAGAACTACCATATTTTTCAGACTATAAGACACACTTAAAATCTTTTAATTGTCTCAAAAATCAAGAGTGAGCCTTATAATCCGGTGCACCTTATGTATTAATTCTGGTTGTGCTTACTGACCTTGAACTGATTTTATATGGTTGACGGCTCTCAAAAATCTGTCAAAATGTTTTATTTTCTCTTAATGTACCGTATAATCCGGTGCACCATATGAATGAAAACAGACCCATTCATTGACAGTGTGCCAAATACGGTAAGCTTCTACAATGTGCTACGTAATTGTTTTGATTTTCAAATCAAATTGTTTTTGACTGAACTATTTTTCATTTCAAAAATACTTCTAATCCAGATCATAGATATTTTTTTATTTACATTTATTTAACCAGGCAAATCCTATTGCACTTTTATTGACAATATTTTTACCCTTTTGCTTAAAAAAGCCTTATTTTAATTACAGTCTATGAAGCTATTTTACAAAAGCCATCAAATAATCAGAAAATAGGTCATAAAATGTATAGGGCAAGGCAACATTTTGCTTTTTTTAAAGATACACCAAACTAGGCTGTTGGAAAATATAAAAGAAGGGCCTTTATAGATTTATTCAAGAAGAAAAAGTTCAGACAACAAACACTGAGGGACAGTTATTACAGTTGGGAAAACAAGTATTTTTTGTGTACTTTGGTTTTGCAGTTTTAGAACAGTTAAACATGTTGCAGTTCATTACATGAAAGGCTCAAACCATTGTCCACATGTTTTGATTATTAACTAAAATATAACGTTTGCTGTCAACTGACTTTCTAATCTGGGACTGAAATAAATGAGGAGTTCAATCTCTGCCGGACTGTCAGATTATATTTTCTATATGTGCGAAAAGCTCTCGTGTACACACATGCACAAACACATCACATAAAATTGAAATAAATATACAGCCGACATTGCAGGTTTGGAATTTCCTGCTGCATCAGGTGAAACTGTCCACGCCATGATTCTGTGATTCGTTACCACCTCCCAGCTCCAACTCACTTTGTGCCATCACTCTTGCTGCTTCCCTCTGTTTCCCACCTCTTTATCCATTTGACTCACTTCTATCTATCACTATGCCTGTCTGTCTTTGTCTTTCTGTTAGCTTTTTCTAGTTTCTTCCTCCATCTCTTTATTGTCAATCCTAATCGCCACTGTCTCTCTTTTCACTTAATGTTTTTTCTATAAGATATATCAGTTTATTGCTCTTAAATATGGCACTTAATCATGAAACAAGTAAAGCCTTGGTTTTCACGGTCTTTTATACAAACTCGCACACAGCATTTGTCTTTTCAAAAGGAAATCGGGTAATCTGAAATTAACACGCTCTTCTAAAGCTGTGTGCATATTGGTGTGTTTAACGGAGGAAAAAGCCAGAATTGGAAGCAGAGCTCACCTCTCCACCTCTCCATTGCTTTATCAGCTCTTTCTTCCAACAATCCCAGTTTACGTGTGGCTATCAGAGCCGTCGTGGCGGTAATAGCCTGAAAAATAACACAAGTCCCAAGTCAAGCTTGTTAGAAATGGTAAATAACATTTTCCTCACGCAGCACAATGCTCAACCAGGGACGTTTTTATTAGAGCTTTCAGCAACAATACATAAACAGGGGATAGGAAGTGTAATCCAACATTGCCTGGCCAAGTATGTAATGACTTGAGTAAGACATACCTCACTTCCATAATCAATTATCCTAAGAAGGCTGAAAAAGCAGCAAGCCATTTTTCATTTTGCCAACACAGCAGGTACTGTTAATCTAAAATGAATCTGGCAGGGCTGACACTGAATGGACTGTGTGAGGCTCTGTTCAAGGGCTAATGACTGTGCTCATTAGGAAAGTGTCGGGACCCCTCACTCTTCCCAAAACAGGAGCTGGCTGAAAATTTTCTTTTCTACCATGTGTCTCAAAGATATATGAATATGTAAATTACTTTGGAAGCAAGCTTTTAGAATAATGCCCTATTTCACAAAAAATACTGTACATTCACCTTTACTGCCAGGAACAAAATCTATACAATCAAGAGTTAAAACAAATTGTATTTGCTTGCTACAAAAGGCAAAAAGGGCAAAAATAATCTTATTATCCACTGGAAAAATTCGACACTTTCTGAAAATAATCAAGTGCACTGATTAACTTTCAGAGACACCAATCCAAGATGGCTGCCATGAATTGAATTGAATTATATTAAAAACCTCAAAATTGGCTATAACCCAGTCATTTTAACAGATCTTGAGCTAAAATCTCCAATGGTAGTGGCTGACCATCATCTCCAACTTAAACTCTAAGAGCTAACTGCATAAGATCTGTTTTAGAAACACTTTTAAAGTCAACTCAGTGTGTTTATGAAATAATTCATAAACCACTGGACAGATTTTTTTGAAACAAACAAACAAAAAAGTTACATGTACAACTACAACTTATTACAGTAAACACAAAAATTTCGGTAACTAAATCAATTGTATAGATATTAAGCTAAAATCTAGTGTGTTCACAGATGATTGTGCAACATTTTTGCTTAGAACATTGTTAACTGTTGGTGTCAACCTGTCAGCAAAATATCTCACAAAGCATCAAACAGATTGTAGACAAACCCTCAGAAAAAACTGTCTGGTGTTCATCTTAAACTGCTGTACTTTTGAATGAAGTCAACCGAGCTCAAGGTGATGTCCACAGCTAACCAACCTTAGCCAATAAAAAAATGGCTACAATTGATTATGTGTAATTTACAGATATTGAGTAAAAGTTTGATGTGGTAGTAGCTGAGTGTCATTCTAGTCACAGTCTGAGAGCAAACACCTCTTGTAAGATCTGAATTACTGTATGGACCTTTATTTATACATCCTGCTATGGAATAAATAGGAAGGAGGAAGAAGAAATCAAAATATGCAAACTCAAAATTATGAACAACCAAAAAAGTATTTGACCTTCCTTTTTTTGTCAGTAGATGTACAAGTTTACAAGAATGGGCTTCGCATTGGTCTCAATCTGTCAATTTTATTATTGCTGTAGCATTCAGTTAAGCATAAAAACATGAATTTAACAATAAATGGATCTGAACTATTAAAAATAATAATAATAGGCCTTATTATAATTAAACACATTTAGAAGGTACTTATAAAGAATACTGGAATAATAATAATAATACACTGTTCATCTACACACTGATTAGACACTCAAACAGTCTTTCAGGATCAGTTGCCAAGTGCACTAACCAATAACTAATCTTCATAAAGAAATTGACTGTAATTATTGGTCATGTTTCACTTCTCAAATGATTGTATTAGCAACCATTTTACTCATGCACAGAATTTCTGCTACGCATAATTCTTAATCAGCACGTTTTCCCTGCAGCTCCACACACTTCACATGCTCAAGGAACATTGTTGTTGCAACATGTTCAAATATTTGTATTTGAGCAGCACAATGCTCCAAACAGCCACAAGTATAGTTCTGGGATTACATGTGTAGAACATTCACACAGTCACTTTCTCATCCATATCCATTTCCAATACTAACCCTAACCTGTCTGTCCATCCATCCATCCATCCATCCAACTTACTCACACCTCGGGACAATTTAAAGTTACCAATCAGTCTAACATGCATGTTTTCGGTCAGTGGGTGGAAACTAGAGTACCTGGAGAAAACACACATATACACAGAAAAAACGTGCAAACTCCACCCAGAAAGGTCCCCAGCCAGGATTCCATCTGGCAACCTTCTTTTTGAGAGGCAACAGCTCTCTACCAACTGTGCCACAGTGCTGCCCTTATTTATTTATTTATTAGTTTATTTATTTATTTATTTATTACAAAGGATAGGAGATACAGATGTGGATACATGGCGTTGAGGGTATTTTTTATTGGAAATTATATTTCTGTGTTTTCCCACTAAGATAATGCGACAATGTACAGTACTATCTTCTCCCAAAACTTTACCTTCATACTAAAAAAGTTCCCCTTTACTTTATTAACCTTTACTTAACCAGACAAACCTAATTGAGATCACAGAGAGGTCTTTTGCAAAAGTCTGAATGAATGCAGACTCACATACATTATTTTGGACTATGGGAGGAAATCAGAGAAGAAAACACACACACACACACACACACACACACACACACACATACAAGGACAACATGCAAATTCTACAAAGAAAAAAACCCAGGTGAAAATTGGGGACTGAACACAGGATCTTCTTGCTGTGAAGCAACAGTGTTAACAACTAATCCACCGTACTGCTTTCAGTTTTAATTACGTATTTATTTGCTGTATCACATCAGTTTCTTAGCAGACGTGCATATATTTCTCCACAGACACAAACTTCAGATAATTTTCTTGTTTGTTTGTTTTTGCTCATTTTAGTTTGGCTTTACCAACGCAAATTTAAATAAAACAAATTTCATTTAAGCTATTTTATAATATTCTTTTTTGCAGTCTAATTCAAAGTAATCCTTTACATTTCAGTTATTGATGCTATAAATTTTCTGTTTTTTGCACATCAGTGTTCATGAACTTAAACATTACCAGCCTCTGTCTACTTACATCTAGAAAACTAGGAATTTATACATATATTTAGGGTCTCCTATTTTCCTTTAATTGATTG